CAGGCGGCCCGGCAGCCGCTCGCGAGCCGGGCTCCGGGGCTGGGGCGCGCGTCGGTCCCGCTGCTGCCAGCAGCCCGCTCCCCTTCTTTCTTTTTCTTTTTCACCTTCCCCCGCGCTCGCCGCCTCCTCCTCTTCTTCTTCTTCGTCTCCAGCCGACGGTGCTGGCTGCTGGGGCTCACCATGGGCCGCGGCCCCGCATGGTGGGAGGGTGGGCGCAGAGCGAGTGGAGCCGCCGCCGCTCTGAGCCCAGCCCCGCGCCTCCTCTCCGCACCGTTTATCTTGCTTGGATTCACCTTCAGGAGATTTCCGGACCCATCAACCAGCCGCTGCCACAGACGGGGGAGTCTTTTACATCATTATCTCTGAGTAGGTTATTATGAAGAAGACTCGCCTGTTGGGACAGCGCTTTCTACCCAATCAGGTTAACGTTTTAATTAATAGGATTAAAACGGTAACAAACAATCGCAGGCGCTATCTGGCCGCGAGTCTGAATAGTTTCATTTCCCAGGTCTGAAGACAGGCAGCAGCTAGAGCTTTATAAAAGGCGCCTGCTCCATTATTCTGCCTGCCATCTGTATACACAGCTTAGCGCATATGTTTGCAAGGCGCTGGGTCCTGTTAGTAACCCAACAACTGCCTTTAGCTTGACATGTGTGGCGACTTTCACTCATCAATGAGCACACTAAAAGCCCTACTTAGAGCCGAGGATGTTCTTTGCTCCTTCAGCAAATTGTAGATCGGCTGCGAAACCTGGGAGTCCCGTGAAAAGCAGACGCCCCCACCCACCGCACCCCACCCCCACTGCCCTTCCCTCGCCGCTGCTGTCTCAGCTTGTGCTAAATTACCCTTCCAGGCGAGGATTACACTCTACCCCTGCTTATAGGATGTCTACGGTCTGATTTTGGAGGAGAGACTTTCCGGGGAAGGTGGTGTTCAAGCTGTCTTACCCAAAATTCAGTGTAGATTTTCAGCTAGTAAGACAGCAAAGCGCTCGTCCTCACAGCACGCTGCTTCCCCCTGCCCAACCCCAGCCCCCGCCCAGCCCTTCCACTACCCGTTTCCTATCCGGATGAAAAAGAAAAAGAAAAAACAAAACAAACACGATGAAGACCAATTTGATTATGCAGTCCATTTGATTTATTAAAAATAATTAGAGGAAGGAGATAGGGGGTGCTTGTGCAGTGCAGTACAAAAAGCTGCTAAATCATAAAGGACGTGATTTCCCAAACAGGAAGAAACTGCTTTCTCAAACTTTCAAGATTAAAATGCAGGTGCATCAGAAGAGCCAACGCCAGAAGTCAAATCCTTCCACACACCAAGTGGGGGCATGTGTACATACAGGCAGAAAGAGTAACTGCCACAGCCAGAACACCCTATGGGGACGCGGGGATCTGCCTGGCTTGTACCTGGAGGGCTAGTTACGCGGAGAACTGTGAGAACAAGTACTCCTTTCCGGATAGGAAACGGGTACAGGCGGTCCTCCGGCTCCTGAGTTTGGTCTTTCTCGGAGCACATGGTATTTAGCAGCTGGGTTTCATCCTTATGACTTAAGTAAAAACAATATTTCCCAACACCTCCAACAATTCTTTCTTGTGTGGCAGACTCACTGAAGGCTGTGCAGTTCTTGGTTTCTCTGCTTTCATTAAAAATCTTTTAATTGTGGCTTTCAGCGTTGGCCCCAGGTGTTGGACTCTTTTCATTACATTTTCCTCTAATGTGATGAAATTCTAATTCTCTCCTTACCATATGGTTAAATTTCCCCACTGAGAATTAGTTGAAAAAGGAGAAATAATCTATTAATCTCTGTAATAGATTCACAAATGAGGTTCTCCACAGAACCTGTTTTTGAATGGTAATGTCCCAGCAGTTGGATGCCTTCTCTAAAAAGGAAGGTTGAGAGCCACACCGAAATGTGTGCATTTTCACCTGGAAAGGATGAAAAGGGGCCCAGGCTATCTTGCCAAAACAATTGCCTGATATCCAGTCTGCAGGGGACCAAAGCGCTAAGCAGTTCCTGGTGAGTAACCTAAACTCCTGCTCCTTCCCATAGAAAGAGGAAGAGCAGACGGGTTGTAGAAAGCTCCGTTGCCCGGGATGCAGGCCGGCGCATCTGAAGGTGCATCTCTCTGGAAACCTGAAGGCTACTAGGCATGTAGGGCGGCCCCTAAATCTTGGCTTGCCTGGCTCCTCCCCCCTTGGTGCTAGCGGCTGTTAACCTCTCTCCCTTCAGGAAGCTAAAGCCAGGCTAGTGTTATTGTTTTTCAATTAGCAGTTTCGTTTTCACTGGGATCATAAGCGAAGGTTCTCTGTAAGTATAGGAGGGTCCTCTGTGCCTGATGACACCAACACAGCCAAGTCCCTGGGGCTACTTAAAGGAGACCGTGGCTCTGGGCAGGATGACTACGTGTTCCCTGTCCCTGATGCCTGACTTAATTCCCAGTCAGCTTGCCTTTCCTACAGGCTAGAACTTTCCTCCAGGCCCCTGGGCTCATGCCGGTCTGAGGTCTGCAGTGGGCACTTGAAGGGCATAGGATTCCCAAGGTTCGGGCCTGGTGGAAACGCAGGTGTAGCGGCTGGTGCTTTGCGAGGTTCTGCCCTGGAGGGTCAGGGTGGTAGGACAAGGGTGTGGCCGAGGCGCTGCTTGTCCAGGCTAGACCGGGTAGGTCACACACGATCTTGCTTTTGCTATCAACCAGATAACTCAGCCCGGAGGACAGCGTTCTTCTTTTCCTGCCCTCCTGCACGACCTCCTAGCACCCCCACCTCCCCTTTCCACAGCTATGCAGACTTCTGGAACAAACTTTCACGCAACTTTATTTCACTCAGTAGGAACCAGACACTACGCTCTTTTGAGAGTCCAAAAAATCCTCCCTGTCTCCCAGGAGGAGGTGACTGCTTAACAGTTGCTAGAAGTTTTGCTCTGAGAAACGACCGGAGAATTTATAGAAGCTCTAAACTCGGTCCTTAAAACAACGGTGGGGGAATGGTCTTTGAGCTTTATGCATTCATAAACTTTTGCTGATTGCTTCTGCGAAGTTGTCAGGCACTTAACGCTGCGTTTATATCACCGGGCAATGAAAACACATCTGCCCAATGTTTCCAGGTATAAGTGTCGCCAACCCTTCGCTTCCACTTCCCGCTTAGGTGGGAACAGGCTGCCTGGTTTCCATCCCGGGGCGGGGTGACCTCAGCCGCGCACGGAGTGTCCCGGGCGTCGGCGCTCCGCAGATCTGTGCGCGGGAACTTAGTCCAGCCCAGAATCAGGAAAGGCCGGGGCTCCAGTGTAACCGGCAAGTTGAAAAGGTGGCAAAGAGAAAGTGAAAAGAACCTCCTTTTTGCTCGGCAGTGCGAGGGTGGGAAATCATTCAGGGCCAATCGTCCTGACCCACTGATGACCCCTTAGGGTGAACCCTCGGGAAGGAAATCCCGGCACTGCAGTTTCACAGAAGGGTGCTGAAAGTCCCCGAAGCAGTTGAAGGACAGAAGACACAGGACTGTCCTCTGCCGGCCCTGCCCGCCTGCAGCCCGCTGAGAGGACCACCCAGTCCTGCGCTCTGGTGCTGGGCTGGTGACTCCGTGAGGCCCGTAAACAATACACCAGGAAAGGAAGTATCTATGGCCCAAGGTTGGGTGCTAAATATATATATTGTAAACACACAGCAGAGCACTTTGCCTAAAGATGAATACAGTTTCGTTATTGCCGGAGGGAACACACCTATGGCTTTGAAAGGATTTTAAAATATTCAGCAAGCAGCACCGCCTCGAAATTAGAACGCTGTATTTCAGACCAAAGAAATGTTAAGGTTATATTTATACTTCTTAGACACCATCCTAATATTTGCTTAAATTTGGAAATAAGAGACGCAATAAAATCATGAAGGAGCACAATCCACCTTTGAAATGCAAAGCCAGAAGTTCCACTGTTATTTCCATGGCTCTGATAAGGTAATTAACTGTTTCTCTAGATTAAACAGATAAAAGCCTGGATTTGGGTAGCACTGCGTTTTCTGAGAGGGGGAATTGTGTTTGGGTGTTTTCAATTTGTCTATTTGAGAACATTTAAAAAATAAAAACAAAGTTTGGTAAACATAAGGTCAACTCTAAGTTGAGGATCCTTCTGGAAAGGCGAATTCCTTCCGAGCCATGGGATTCACCTCCCCAGCCCTCCTACACACCCCACCCGAAGAGCTTGAGTCTGTGGCAAAGTTCGCGTCTGGGCGTCGCAGTGGGACCTTTCTGAGAAACTGCCAACTGCAGGCGGTGCAGTCTCAGCGGCCTCTGCTGCCTCGTCCTGCGCGTGGAAGCGGGGCG